GTGTGTGTGTGTGTGTGTGTGTGTGTCTGTGTCTGTGTCTGTGACGTGGTTTCATGCACTTGTCTGTTGTGCAGAAACTGGGTCAGTACAAACCCAATTCCCCCTTTACAGCAGGCGGAACATTGCAGCAACAACAGCTATTAAAGTTGTGAATAATCCATCACATCAGCTCAGACAGGGGCTCACTCCCCTCCCCCCAAGGAAAAACACACACACACAGTGTCAGAGAACACAGTCAGGTGTTTGCAGCTCAAACACGGATGTCACTTCCCTCACCCGACACTCACTCCGCTTCCAATTAGTCAGTCCAGCTCGATGGCTGAGCAGACTAATAAGATGAGTACACAAGACGCTCTTACGTGCCAAGTGCCACACGATGGTTGGTGTGTCGACGCCGAGCAGGGGGGACGCTTCTGGTTTTTCCAAAGCAAGGAGCGAATGTGTGTTACACATGTTGAAACACATTCGATACGAGGATACCCTGAGATCAAACAGTGCAACGCGATCTTTGTTCTCTGCCTTTGCTCCTTCACTATGTAGGTCACTGCATTAAAGAGTTTTACAGCTGCAAGAGTTTTTCATTTTTTAATAATCTGCTCGCCATTTTCTTTTCATTCATCGTTTGGAATTTTTCTGATTATTGAAATTATTATATGAAGGTTGTGAGACCGAGAAGAGCAGCAAATTCTTACATTTGTGAAGCTGGAACCATCAAATTTTAAGCTATTTGTGCTCAACAAAATGCTCTTTATCAATTAATGAGCTTCTACTCATTTCACCATATCAAATATGAGTTCATATACATAATTGTAAATGTAACTTGTTCAGGTTTTAGACTTGACGTTGATTTTCACATTTCTTTTCAAATGTTTGTTCTGATTCTCAAATTCAGTGGCGTGAGTAGATAAGTTCAACACTTGTTGAAAGAACGATCAATAATCAATCCCCTGAATAATTCAGGTTATGCTAATCTTAATCTGCGATGCTATAACGGAGCTGTGACACTCCGTGAGACGACTCAGGCTTTACTGTACGGCTGCAGCGTTACCTCACAGACATCACAGTGAAATGCCTTCCTAAGAAAGAGCTTCCCCCGTTTCTTGCCTGCCGGACTCCAAAAAAATGTTGCTAGGCAACCTCCAGTGTGTGTGTGTGTGTGTGTGTGTGTGCGTGTGACAGAAAGAGGAAGCTGTGCACCATTTTCAGCACAGTCACGGTTCACGTGCGCAGCAGCGGCGGCTCTGTACTTAAAGATGGTGAAATTGAAGTGACGTAATTTTACGTGATGGTTAAAAAAACACAGGAAATTAACTAAGAAAAAAACCTAAGTGTGTGTGTGTGTGTGTGTGTGTGTGTTGTGGGTGCAGCGGTGTGATGTCTGGCTCAAAAGACGACGAACGTGTCCGACCTGTTCGTAAATTCTCTCGGCTGTTTGAGGTGAGATTCTCGCCTGAGGTCTGTATACAGACTCACATCTTCAGCTGAGAGGCAGTACAACAACTCAATCCCACACCTATTACGATTTACCGCCATCTCTCTCTCTCTCCCTCACGTGCACACCATGTTTCCATGGCAACAGTACCAACAGGGCCCCCGGACAGACTGTAGATATCAGAGCTTCCAGCGAACAAACGCGTTGTGGGTAGTTCCCAGTGCAGACATGTATCATGCAGCTTTGTACGTAGCAGGAACTCTGCGCTCTGTCTTTGGTTTATTTACCTCGCAGGCCAGCGCTGCCTGTTGCCGCTGTCAGCGCTTTCGCTATGAAGAACACTCAACATTAAACATGTCCTTGCTCAGACTCAGTCATGCGAAAGGGAAGAAAAGAAAGAGGGAGGAAGAGAGGAGGTGGGAAACCTCCTCAGGAGACAAATCCCTCCTCTGTTCGATGCCCTGATGCTAATCCACAGTGAAAGAACGTCATGTCTGTCTGCCTACACAGCTTCTCTCCACTTTTCTCTCCGTTTCCGGTGCGATGTACTCACTCTCTCATCCTGCCTCAGTGCTCCCTTCAGTTTTTAGTTTTCTTCTCCTCCTGTGACTTATCAAGCGTCTCTGCTTTCTCTCCTTTTTTTTAACAGGTTCACCGGGTTTTGGCTCACTCCTCTCTCCCCCTGACAGCCCATTAATACCTTGTTGGGGATCAGCCGCTCATGAACATTTCGCTCCGGGACATAGATTTCAAATTAATGAAGTACTGTGGGAGGTCACGTCGACAGACAGCACAGTAAAAATTAATGTAACGCTGTGTAGATTGTAATTATTGTACAGAGGCTCGTCACAAGAATAGATGTTATCAATCAAAATCCGTTTTCCTGTGAATAATGGATCAAATGTGAAAAAGACTTAAACCTTGGTTCTTTTCAGAGCTGACACCTACAAACAACAGCTCCTGTGATCCACTCTCATACTGCAGCAGGGAGAGAGGAGTCTGTGTACGTCTGCTGCAGCAGTCGACTGTGAAATGTTGACAGTACATGCCAGGGTCTCGGCTCTAATGTGTTTCTTCACAGTAACAACAGGCCTAGCACCCAGTCACTTCTCCCAGACTCCCGTCACCTCGCCGCCGCGCTTCTGTTTCGCAAACCGCCGTGAACTCCGGCCATAGGGACACACGCGTCGTTTTTATCTTGTGCCTGTTTCTCTTTCAGCGATGGAATTTCACGAGAACCTCCACAACTTGGCCACGAAGGAGGGGTTGAAGGGCAGGAAGTTGCACAAGGCGGTGGAGAGCTTCACGTGGAACATCACCATCCTGAAGGTGAGGATTTTCAAATCAAATCAGCCAGAACTCTAGAGCCCGCTCTGACGTTTGCGACAAAGCACTCAGTAATTTGAAATGTGTTACTTCTCATAACGCTGCGACGCGCTGATGGTCGGACGAGGTCAGAGCACAGAGTCAGTGGCCTTGGGCGATTCTCTCTCATGAACCTTTCACCATTATTCTGGTTACGTGACAGCTCTTGTTAGAGGCTGTGCAGCAGAATGGTTCCTGACTGCAGCAGAAACGAAAAGAGCTGCGAATCGGGAAAAGAACAGAGGTTATAGGACACGGAGAGTTTCTGATCGTGGTGTTAGATAAGAGTATTATTTAAGATGAAGACGGTGAAGTTCTGCCTGCACTACAGAGATAAACCTTGATTCACCCCGACGCTGTGTAAATGCTCACTGATTCCTTGTTGCTGAGTGGGAGGAACTTTGTGTTGTTTTGCCTCAACGGTGGAGACAAATGCATTAGTTCCACAACGTCGTGTTCTGTTGTTGAAAGGATGAGTTCACGTTATTGTTTTAATAAACCTACGTTTAAGGTCTTGACTGACATGTGCAGTCATTTCAGTTGTACAATGATTTGATGTCAGATTCCAGGCTTTCAGGAGATGTTATATATCTGTAAACTGAAAGTAGGGTGGTTGTGATTATAACTAGGAAGCTCATTGTGTCATGTCGAGCAAGACATTTGATGCTTTTCCCAGTAAAAAGAGGCTCCGGACAGAAAGCTCTGCTCCTGACGCTCCTCGTCAGTAGTTGGGTCAAACACCTTCTCGTCATCGTGATGTTCCTTGACACGATGCCCGACATTTGCATAATGCACGCCTTACTACGCGGCTGCCGCTGCTCTCTGTCCGCCATCACTCTGACACTTTGCTCTATCCCCTCAGGGCCAGGCAGACTTACTGAAGCATGCCAAGGGTGAAGTCCAGGAGAACCTCAAGCAGATCCACTATGCTGTGCTCACCTGTAACCTGAGTAAAGGCAAAGCAGCGGGCGGCTCCTCTGGCTCCGAGTCCAAGAGCAGACGTAGCCTTGACGCCATCCCCGAGAAGGCCACTGTGGAGGAGGAGCTCACTGGTGAGGACAACTAAAGTCCCACAGTCCCGCTGCGGTCCCCTGACACCCACGTTCAGACCTCTAGGCTGTTCCTGCCTCCTGAGCTCAAAGCCCACAGCTCCCTCTGTCTCTCTGTCTGTGTTTTTAACCTGACATCATTGCTCTACACTCATGAGCGCTCACTTACTCAGACACACACACACACACACACACACACCAGTGTTTTTCCACATTCCATCAAGTACATTCCTGTATCCCAAGCACAGCTGTAACCTCTTACAGACTTTTGCCTTGTGATCATAAATAAAATGCCACCACCACTTCAACCCAACTTCAAATCTTCAAAAGGTCTGAGGTTGAGTTTTGGGAAAATTTGCTTTAGTATTTCCAACCTTAAATCTTGCAGCGTAGTTCTGACGCAGGGTTTTCTCTGGGTGTCTGGACTTAGGTGCGTTTACAGTTTGTCAGAAGAAAGCTGGAAAAAAAAGTGAATGTCAGTGACGGAGTGCTCTGTCCTGAGTGGTCACGGTACGCCCCTTTAGAAAAAAGACTTGTACTGACTTTGTGCGAACTGCAATTTTCTCCTCCTCCCATAACGATCTGACAGTGCAACGTCTTGTTGGTGTCAGTGTCGCTGTGACCGCTCATCAGCTGACTGAGATGCTGTAGCGGGTCGATTGCACACTTGAGTCCATATGAGCTCATCATCTGTGACAGGATGCAATTCTTGGCCGTTTTACAGATTTTCTCCGTGTTTAATTTCGTTGCGAAATGGTGAGAACTTGTTTGCGATTAATTAATTTCCTCTGTTGCAGCAGAACACGTCCCAGCAACATTCAGAAACTCCTGCAGGCTCAGCCGCACTAATGAAGCACGTCTGATAAACAGACTCACCGTAGATTTGAGTTGCTGCGGTTGTCGGTTGATACTGGTTTCACGCTGCGCTCAGGCATTATGCCAATTACATAACTCGCCCACGGCTGTGCACCAGATAAAGCAAGATAAACTCCGTCTGTTTCATTTTTATAAACATATAACTTTGGTTTTGAAGGATGGTAAAAACGTTATGGATGTTTTGAAGGTCTACAGCCTCACCAGCAGACGGGTCAATGTGTCAGACAGGCCACGTGATCGAGCCACAGCAGAGCTCTGCAAACTAGAGGTTGTTTATGTTATTATCAGAAGTCTGGCAGTTAAAGCAACTCAAGTACATTCTTTTAAAATGACTCGTAATCGCACCGGTGTTGTCAGAAGGTTATTACCCAGAGAAAACATGTCCACACCCTGACGTCCCCACTACAGACGGACTCTCTGAACCCTGATAGACGAGACAACATTCAGGTGACGATAACCCACGAAGAGCAGTTGAGAACTCTCAGCAGAGTGTTTTAGATTCTGCATCTAAGTCCTGTAACAGCAGAGGAAACCCTGTGGTGTCTTTCTCTTTAAACAACGGCTTCACATCTGATGCTGCACAAGTCGTGTGAACGCTGAATCACCCTGAAAACTCAAATCTGTTCATCTACAGTCTCAGCACAGACGCTCGTTGTCCTCCGTTCTTCTTTCTGACCCTGTCACTCATTTCCTGTTTGAGCTGGGAGCGCAAAGTCAACTACCAGCCCCGTGACAGATAGAGACGTTTCTACAGAGACAGAGCACATGTACTCTGTTCGACAGAGGGGGGGGGGG